AAACGAAAAACGGCCAATGACATCAATGCTTTTGAGTTCTTAGCATTAAAGAAGAAGATGAAGGAGAGAAAAAAATATATAAAGAGAAAGATAGAAGAAGAGACAGAGAATGAGAGAGAGAGAAAGCGAACAAGTGAGAGACGATCATTAGAAAAGAAAAACTTGTTTGTGACATTTGCATGAGCTCATTCCAAGCTCTTAAAGCTCAGTAGCCGCTAAGATTATAAAATATATTCTTCTAACTTTTGATCTTAACACAGTATCTTACTTAAGAATTAATGAAAAAACTAATTCATAACGAACATAAAGATGTAAGGGAAGAGGAACTTATGCAAGAGAACTACCCACTTTCCATAACATCTGATCTTCTCCTCTTCAACTCATTACCAGCTTGTTATAAGTAAATTAGATTCAACTGAACAAACAAATTGACAAAATCTTTTCTTCTATCTATCTCTTCTCTCTCTCTCTCGTAATCTCTATCGATCTCTCTCTCTATTTCGTTTTTTACCTCTTACTCTTGCTATCTGAACCTCTTTCATTCTGTTTCTTTACTCTGATATACAGCCTCTCCTTCGCATTGGTTTCGTGTTGCAAATTGACGTCATTTGAAGTTTTAATAAGCTTCTACAACATTCATATCTTTCATTAGAATCTTGTTGGAGGATTGAATAGATGCATCTGAGAATAAATCAGAAATTTTCTCATTATAGCATGGAATTCGTTTTTAATTTCATTCATTATTTCAAAAGTTACGTCAGATATTCAAATTTTCTTGAAATCCATCACGACACGTGGCATTCACGAATCTCATTTATGAACAACTTAAATGAGCAGAGCGGTTGCATACGACGAATTCAAATGAGTTTGCTGAACTTTCGATAAACATTTAAGGATTTTCAGTAAAAAGAGAGAGGGAGCTCTTTTATAATTAAGAGAGAAAACAATAAAGAGAGTGAGAGAATGAATAGTACAAGAGAGAGAGAGAGAGAGAGGGGGGAGAGAAGGAAAAACATTATTTGTCACAGTCTATTTGGTTGTCTTTGACAAAAATAATAAACAACTTTTCTGCCAATACATTTAACCATCATATACGACGGTAGTTAGACAGTTGTTGTATAAACATAAATGTATTTTTATTCTTAATCACAGAGAGGGAATGAAACGGAGGGAAACGAAGCAGATATACAGAGAGAGAGAGAGAGAGAGAGAGAGAGTGTAGCGAAGGAAGGAAATGGGAATTGATTTAAGAAATTGAAAAGGATAAAGCAATTCAATACGAATTCTTCTTTTTTTTCTCAAAATTCTCTTTTGTCCACTAGAAAGGTGGTCAATTCATCAGAATTTTTAATAAAAATTACAAAAACGCTGATTCAGTTGGGGCTTGGAAATGCAAAAGTTTTTTTCTTTTTTTTCAAAAAATTTGACTCATTTTCATAGAAAATATGTGTTGAATTCAACAATGAAACTTCGGACATATTGCAGATCGACAGCCTTTTTTCGTTTTCATTGCTTTTCCAAATATAGCCACAAAGGGCTTTGTAAATAACACGCGCGCACACGTGAATTGTTGAAGCCGACGACGACGACGGCGTCGTATCCCTTCAATTCAGGTTCAGGTCATGCAGCAGACTAGTCGCTTCAGAAGACAACAACTACCAAAGATAATGAATAGAATGAGATGAAGAAGAAGAAAAAGAAGAAGAAGAAAGAGCTGTCGGTTTAAGCCCTGACCCTCTATGTCTCTCAGTCATCCATTCGCAGAATTACAGATTCGGTTGTTTCTAACCAGATTAGAGAAATCTGATCGTTCGTGCGTCTACTTGTAACAATTAAATAATTTTAAATAAAAGAAACATGTAGTGGGCATCAAATAAGGCTTTGTAATCGTTTCGCAAGCAGTGGAATGAGGAGAAGTTGGATCATGAAAGGTGGAGGTATGAACTGTACACTCAATTCCTCGCTCACTCACTCACTCATACATGCTGTCATACCGCATAATGAGCTATTATAGTTTTACGAATACAAACAGAAAACGGTGCATATTAACTATTCTCACATAGTTAATCATATGAACAACCATGTCCATGGGTGGTCGCTTACATTCTCAGAAAAGCGTTCATGGGCATATTGGAGATACATGTGATACTTATGAATTCAGTGAGTAACAAGCACATCGTTTTCAACTCAAAATTATTATATTGAAGTTCCTGGTTAGGTTGTATTGAATAATCAGAAAGGCATAAATTGGATTTTTAGCCAAAGGTTATTTGGGGTCAAGTTGTTTAGGTGTTCCGAATCTGTTGTCTTAAATCTATAATTTCTCTGTTGTGCTCTCTCTCTCGCAATCATCTTCTCTCTTATTGTCTTTCTTCTGTTCTTATACATATCTATCTCTATCTCTCTCTCTTCTTCTCTCTTTCTCTGTATCTCGAAATTTCTTCTTTTCAACTCTTGTAAACAATCAAAATAAAGGCTTATTCGTTGACCAGTCACTTCCCTCACCTCTTTTTTCCTTAGCTAAAAACATAAGATGACTAGATATAAAGAGATTTTATAAGAAAAATAAAGATAGAGAGTAGGGACTAGTAAGAGAGAGAAGAAAAGAAACAAGAAGAGAAAGGTTTCGATTCAATGAATTTGTCGTCAACAAAAACAAGCGATTATACATGGTGGTAGTGGTGTTGATGTTCGTGTGTGGGGGGATGCGAGTGGAAGAGAGGGGGGGGGGGGCTGATGGACGATTGATGACCGGGATGTTGAAGAAGAAAATGGAGACGAAGGAGAAGGAGAAAATCATTCAGTTCAAAGTTATAAAATGCAATTTCTAATCAAAACCTTCCACACAAACACACACACACAGCAGACAAACGAGTAGAATGAGTAGAATGAGAGAGTCATTGAATGGTTATGAAAGTATGACATGATAGTATGAAAGAAGAGGCCTCTCTCTCTCTCTCTGTTTGGAAACAGCTCACCAATTGGTCGATGTGTGAGAATGAAAAAATTAATTTTTTTTTTTAGCAAGAACGGAAATGAAATCCTGTTTATAAAGTCTATGAAGAATTGAAAAAGGAAAAAGAGAAAAAAAAACATTAAAAGTACAATGATGGTATGGAACAAGCATAGAATAGCACAAACACCAAACTCATCTCATCCGTACGTGTGATGGAGACGATTTTTGTGAGCAAAATTAATTGGAATGAATGATGTTAATGCATTCAGAACAAATTATGAATGACTCAATTGATAGGCAGATAATTTCTGTGTTATCACTTAAACAAGCACAAAATGTGAATGAAAGATCAAGAGTTCGCAACAAGTTCCAAAATGTGTCGAGAAACTACTTTCTCACATCAAAGTTACATGATAATCAAGGTATTGCTTCAAAAATATTCTTTAACACCCAGAATTATGAGGGAATGAATGATGGGTTTGGATACAACCGTTCTGCGCGTCTGCATAGCTTTGAATGAATTCACGGAAGCCATTGGAAGCATCTACGCGTTATACGTGGAATTAGCATAAAAGACCGTTTCAACAAAGGTATTCGTAGAAATGAGATAGGAGTTTTAGCTGTTCAGTTTTCATTTACCTCTGTCCTCTCTCTTCTTTCTTTTTTTTCTCTTTTTTTTCATAAATTCCAAATTGATTTATCCTAATCAGGCGAGTTGAGAGAGGAATGGAGGTTGTCGCCGTGTAAGACACAGAGAAGAAGAGATAGAAAGTCATATATAGTAATGAAAAGAAATATTTTAACAAGATAAAAATATGTTAGAGATAATATAAGGATAAGAGATTCAGAGAAAAGGTTGAGCGGTGGATATTACGTACCCATGGCAACCTCTCTTCCAAGCTAAATATCCAACAGCTGAAGCTGCAGATATCAGCCGTTCTATTTCTCTGGTCAATACTATTTCCTATTTCTGTTTCTTATTATCTCTCATAAATTAGTAGTCTCTATTAAAATCATGTGTCCCTCCCTCATATTTCTTTGGTTATTTGGGCTGCTAGAAGTCGAGATCTTTATTCTCAATCTACAATTGATAGTCAGGCACATACTTATTCAGCTATTTCCGTTCATTTACACATTGACTAAATCACAAAAATTATATTTTCTCATTCAGTCATTATATTTCCGCTCATCAAAAGTTGAACTGTCATTTTAGAAAGTTCATCATTGCATTTCCTTTAGCTCTCTTGCTCGCCTTTTTTACTTTTTCATATTTCCTTGTATGATGTCTCATCCTGTATGCTACGCAATTCATCATACAGCTTATATCATCATTTCATTTTTGATGCAGTTTTAATAGAACCAATCATTTAGGATATATATTATGGAAGCTTTAAAGTCTCAAACAGAGCAACTACGACAGGAAGCTCAACTGGCTCGCAAGAAGGTGTCGGAAGTGTCCAAAGAGTAAGTCTTCCCTCCCTGATATACAGCGTTAGAGATGATTTGATTGACAATAGTAATTTTGGTATAAAGAAGAAAAAAAAAGACAAAAAGGGTTTTAGTAAGATAGGTTGTCATGACAACAAGATACAAATTCAAATATATATTTCTTCGTTTATATCTTTGTCAAACAAATTCTTCTGAGAATTGGAGAGAGGCTAACGAAGAGAATTAAGGAATAGGCTTGGATGTTCAAGTTAATTATTATTTTTCAGTCTTATGGAGTATTGTGAGAAGAATAAAGCTACCGATATGCTTGTTAGTGGACCAATTGATAATCACAATCCCTTCCAAGAAAAGAAGAGTTGCTCAGTACTCTAGGCAATGATCTATCCATATAGAGCCCGTCATCATAATCCTCTTTCATGAGGCAGAACAAAAAAAAAGATTTCAAGCATATTAATAACGGAAATGATACGAAACATGAAATGTTATGAAGCAATTCCATATATAGACATTCTTTCAATCACGTATTCTCTCTATATATCCCTCATAATGCTGTTATACTCTTTGTACCTTGTCTAATAAACATATTCAAACGTACTCTGTGAACTCGGGCTCTGATGTAACTGTTCCACTTGTTGAAGCACTCGTTGCTGCTGTTGTTTCATTTGCGGGACGATTCGTTCCAAGTAATTGCTGATATATCGTATTCTCAATTTTCCAATCTCATAAGCTTACCTTCAATAGAGCATCCTTTATAGGCTCTTTAATTGGTTTGGCCTTCTTCGCCCTAGGTTTCCTTGGTTTTTTCGGTTTGGCAGGTGCCTTCTGATTTGATCCTCTCTGTAATGGTAATTGGAATTAGAGGAATCAGACATTGATCTCCAGCAATTAGCTAATATCCGAGGAATACTTACGGGTGTTGGCTCCACGAAACTCGCCTGAGTTATAGGGGTTTCAGGTAAGGCAGTATCAACTGCTGGATTAGGCCTCATCGTACCCACGGTGGATAACCTCAAAAGCAATGGAAGCATGAGGAAACGAACGACCATCTGTTCTTACCTCGTAACTGTACACAGTAAAGAGAGAGAACTTTCATTATTCTCATTTACATTATTATTATTTCCTTTAACTAATCTGACTAGACAATGAGCTTCGACGTCTCCGAATAAGAGAGAAATCTGACAGGAACTTTCATAACCTATAGAGAGGTTGGATAAGGTTGTGTTTGAATTGAAAGTCTTTACCGGCTTGAAAGAGAGTTTCTAAAGTATTCATGTGTTCTGGATGACATATTTCACTAATCCTCCGCCCAATCAACTCTGACGTTGGGAGCCATGTATCGGATCTTTAAAACGATCATAAAACCACAGAAAAGGTGAAGAACCACAATACTTGTTGTTTATTTGGATAATGACTGCAGAAGGATCAAGTTGGATTAAAACTTGGCCATGATTACCAAAATGAGACCGAGCCACACACAGAGTGGCTGATCGTTCTGGAAGAAAAAAGGAAAGATTGAAAACTTCAAAAAGTGATGAGATAAAATCAATCAGGAGAGAACGAAATAGAAGAGACATAAGAGAGGAATAGAAAATCACCTGATTCTGACTCGTTTATAACTTGTCGCGTTGAAATTTTAGCAAAAGTTACCTGAAATTGAATGTTATGAGAAGGAGATTACAGGATGGCGAGAGCGAGAAAATGAAAAAAGCAAAGAATGAAATGTAAAACTCACATCAAAGGGAATTTCTTCACTATTAACAGTTTGAAAATGCATTCGACAACTCATACTTGTCGATGGACCCGAATTAAGAATTGGAAGAACAATGTGGTGGTCTCGCAATGAGACGAGAGTATAGGCAGATAATGAGGTGAGATCCCTCTATAAATTTCAAAATTACTAATTTAATTGTCAATTAATCTAATTATGATGCTTTTAATTAGCTGGCTATGAAGAAAAACATCGAAGGAAGTGATAATCTATGATCTGATTTTGTCATTTTTCTAATTTATCAGGTAATTCCGACAAGTTTATCAGCATAACCTTAACCTTCATTATGATCCTTTTTTACTTTTCTTTCATACATTAGCTGATTGTCAGAAGAATGAGAATGAGAAGAAAATAATCAAATTCTAGCTTGAAGGAGCTTTCAGTTGTATTCCTTTCTGGTCCCTGAACCTCTTCTCTCCTTCTTGCCTCCATGCGCATACACACACATGTACACACACACACACTCACATACACACCCATACCCCACCCCACCCCACCCCTCTCTCTCTCTATCTCTCTTTCCCTCTCTCTCTTCGTCTACCAAATAGCAAAAAAAAGATTTTTTGGAGAACGAAAAAGAAGAGGAAAATCAAAAAAGGCCATATTTTACTGAGAACGTTTAATCTTTAATCTCCTCATATGGTCAACAAGCAGCTAAAAATTCCGGAAAATGTTTAAGGAATAGCGAGAATGGAACGGCAGTAGGACAAGGTCATCTCCACCTATCTCTTGTTTCCTTCAATAGTTGTCGTCTTTACCAAACATTTCTGATGTTCTTCTGTATGGTTGACGACGACAACGACGACGAGGAAGAAGATGAAGAGACAACGACTTCGACCATGAGTTTACGTCCAATTATGGTCACAAAAGGACAAACATACTCCAGATAGAATGGAACAAAATGTAAAAAAAAGAAGAGAGAGAGAGAGAGAGATGAAGAGTATGTACGTTGAACAATGAAAATTTCCAAACACATAGCAGTGGTTCAATTAAATCGTTTAATAATATAATAATAAACATAAATTAACTCACCCGCTTGAAACCAAGCAAATCAGAGACTGTCGGACTTATATAGTCAATGTTTCCGGAAGAGGAAAGCAAGAACCAAAAGTATAATCGAGTGTCTGCTGGCAGAGCTGCTGAAGCTGTGAATTCGGAATTTTTATATGCAGGTGAGGATGAAGATATCCAGTCCTCTTGAATAGGATTTAAGCCTTCAACATGAACACAGTTAACGCCAATTGATTGAATAAGCGAACGAACCTCTAGTTAAAGCATTTCGAATTATTGACAGAACGGAAGTTATTTGAATCTGTGACATTCGAGGTGAAGATCCGCTCTCAAAAACTGATCGTACAACATCTTCTGCCGGTGGTATCATAAGATGTGTATTCTCACTTCCGCCCTCCATTACGGGGCTTCTGAACATGAGTAAGGTTCATTATTATGATTTTAAATAACTCTTTTTCATATAAATCAATAGAAATGATCAATGACGATAAAAATCTTGACAATTATAATACAGTAGAACAAAACTTAAAGCGTGATGATGAAAACGATGATTAAGGAATGATGTCATAGCTTAAATGACAAGCAGTTTCGAAATTAAGGAATGACAATCTCCTTTTACAGCAAGTACCATACAAACAAAACTAAAATAAACCAATGAAACAACTCTTTCTCTCTCTCTCTCTCTCTATCTTAACTCTCTCTCATAACCCTTATTTGTTTCAATATCGATTGAAGAGACAAAAAAAAATTAACTGGGGCTCATCAACTTTGGAAATCTCGTTTCCTGAAGAAGTTGGCTAAAAGACAAACGATAGCACCAGATTCAAGAGTTCAAGATGCAGGAGAAAAAGAGAAAAAGAAAACGAGAAAAGGGGTAGAGCGGTTTCTGATCTCAATCATCGATCGTCACCTTTTTTGACTGTCGTCATGTCAGATCGAAGGAATGTAGACGTAGCAGAAACAAAAGTAGTAACAGCTGGTACATCTCGGCACCACTAACGGATCGTTTTGAGTATGATCGGATGAGCGTTCCAGCTGATTAGGAAGTTTGATGATCATGTAAGTAATCATCTTCGTCATCCGTCTACTGAATCTCATCTCAGTCTCCCTTATTTTTTCCTTATTGAGATAAGAAAATGATTTGTTGAAGCATTTTTCTCGAATATCTAATGACAATCAGCGAATATGACAACTGGAAAAGAGAAAAGAAGGAAGCGCAAGAGACAAGTTGAACAAGAAAAAGTTAACGAACGATCTGGTCAGGATCAACAATGCTTTCACCAAAGATAAATTGATACAGGCTAGAATGAGCGAAGTAAGAGGCGTCATAGACATTTATGAGAGAAAGATTAACAGTAGTTGAGAAGATAAAGCATGTTGGGAATAAGAAACAAAGAAAAAAGGAAGAATAATAGGTGAAATAGTGAGAGAGGGGGGTGAGAGAGAGAGAGAAGAAGAGAGAGGGAGAGAGACAAAAAAAGAAGGGATAAGATGAAGAGGGATAAGTATTGATGCCGGAGAACAACCGTTCCATATGCCTTCTTGATACAAAATGAGAGATGAAGTTCCACGTGAAACGGACGTGAAAAATGATGAACGATCGAAAAACGTGAGGGTCGGTGAGAAAAATGGTGGAAGCAACAAAAGTAGATGGAGTAATGCAACAAACTGAACAAAGAAAAATTCGGATGTCGTTGATTCGTATCGTGACGAATAAACGTTGATGGACAACAATTTCTCTCGACTTTATGGGAAGATGATTACAGAAGAAGAAAAATGAAGAAGAATAAGAAGATAATACCCCTGTAACAGCTCACACGTTTTTTTCACAAATTTTTTGAGAAAAGTAAATGATGAAGATTAATATGAACGCAAAAAAAGGAAATCCTATTGAATGTGAGGGGACAGAAGTGAGGACGGAATAACTGAATTATGGGCATTTCCATGCAAAAGTTTGCTCACTTCACATGAAGGACGTGATGGGCGAGAGACTGATGAGATCCAATTGTGAGCCATATTTCAAATGAAATAGTTAAGAAAGCATAATAAAGCATAGTTTAGAGACTGTTCCTCTAAATTGTTTTAAACAATATAAAGTGAGGAATTCGAACAACAAATATTTGTTCGTACCTGAGCGGACATCTCCCTTTGGTTCTTGGCACGAATCTTGTATTTATGTATGTAGCATGTAAGTATGTATATAAGAAAATAGAGAGAGAGAAAGAGAAGGAAGGAGAGACATAAAGAGAGATAGAGAAATAGAGAGAGATTCACGAAACCCCCCCCCCCTCCCGTTTCTCCCAAACGAATAGGATGATTACGGAAAGAAGAAAGCAGTTTGTAAGAGAGTGAATGAAAAATTACTGCAAAATAGATCAGATGTTTTGTTGGTAAACAATCTGAACAACAAGAGATCGATGGTGATGATGTTATCTGATGATGAAAAATAAACGGTTCATTCTATCTCAATGAACTAGCTAAGACGTAAGAGAGAAAGAGAGAGAGAGAAAATCTTATGGAAACAGAGCAAAAAAGCAGAAAAAGGAAGAGAGAGAGAGAGAGATAGAGAGAGAGATTAAAGAACAGAGAGAAAGAGAGAAAGGTGAGAGACAAACCAAAAGTCGTGGGAGAGAGATAGAGAAAAAGCTGAAATTTGAAGACTTCTGTTCGGTCGATCAAGTCGAACTTTACTGGTAAGCCGACACGAGAACACACTAATCGATTGATACCAAATATATTTGTATAAGATGGTACAAATCTCAATACGAATCGACGAATATCGTTTGTTTACTTCATTTTTCTTGTTCATTCTCTCTTTATACATTTCAAATTTGTTTTTTTACTATAAAAAGAAGGGGATGAAGGAGAGAGCTTTCGTGTTAACGAATGTGTGAGTCATGTAATGAGACGTGAAGACATTCATATCCAATAAGTCAAAAACCAAAAGAGGACGAAGAAGAAGAAGAAGAAGGAGAGGAAAGCATCATAACTTTTCAAAATCTGATCTTGTTTGTTATGAATGAGCCGTAACCAATCTGCTTTTTATTTCGTTCTCTTTCTGTTTTGCCTGTTGCTCGCATGTCTCTGCTTACCTCTCTCTTTCTGACTCTCAGTTTGAAAATTGAAAAATTAAGATAAAAACGGGAGAAAAAGCTTTGTGGTGTGATAGTGATAGAGAAGAGCCTGGCAGCTTTAAGACTTCCACGACCTTGGGAATAGAAATTGCTAAGTAGTACTGACAGATGGCATATATGAAGAGAAGGAAAATTAGATGAAAAAGACATTAAAGATGAAAATAATCATTTGAAACGGGCAATAAATACAAGAAAATTATGAGAAGATGACAATTGATGTGCAAAAGAAGAAGCTTTGGTTGAAAGTTCAATGAGAAAAAAGGTTTTTGAATGACACCATGCGATGAGAGAGAGAGAGAATTAGAAAAATGATGAAAAGGAAGGGAAAAGGCATGCGAATGAAACAGTTTGGAAAACCTAGAGGACTACTTCCTTTACAAAGGTGGTTAAAGAGCCATAAATGGTGACTGACTGTTTGATTGACGATGACCAAATGTGCATGCCGTTCATCTATCTTCTCTCAATTCTTACAAACTTTTTGATATCATTTTGAATTCTATACAAGCAATGACATAACACTTTGAAATAAACCTATTTGAACCAAAATGTCTCAATACGAGAATGTTCTCCAGAAAAGGGTAAAGGTTATTGACCTCTCGTCTGTATGTGAAAGAACCTCGAGGCAAGGTCCTTTAAGCGAGACGGGATGAACCGTCTGCACTCTTTTCGTGTCTCCTTCGGCTTTCATGATATGCCTCTCTCCTCTACTCCCTCTCTTCTCTCCATCTTTACCTCCCTATTCATGTGCACCCTTTTGCCCTAACAGCCTCTCTTCAATTCAAATAAATTTAATCCGTATTCATCACATATATGATTAGTAATGTTAAATAGATATATTATATGTTTAAACACATAATTTTCGATTTAAAACGTTCGGAAATGATGCAAATAAGGTTTGTGATTACTCCATTAACCTAAAGATTATAATTCCCAAAGCAAACCTTATGATCAAGTGGAACGGATGAAAGGACATCGAAAACAAAAAAAATCGAACATGAACTTTTGCGTCAAAATTTCACAACACAGGTAGAGAGGCAGGACAAAGGGAGAGTAGTGACTCAGAGAAAAAGGGAGGCAGCTAACTTCCATTTTTCAGGTCAGACCGCACACAATGTGGTCGATAATCGAGATGAGGATTAGCTTGTACAGTTTGAAAAAAAAAAGATCGAGAGAATATCGGAGAGTCAGTTGTCTCGGTGCCAGCCGCGACCGACCACACCGCGAGCTGCCAGAAGAAGACGAGAACGACGATAGATCGAAAAGCTTCGTCAGATGAAGAGCATGAGGAGAAGAGCAAGAAGAGAGTTAGAGAGAGAGCAAGTGAATGATGAAGAAGTTGGTTAAGAGAGTGTTAAAGTAGTTTGCCATATATGGATGTGATTTCTTGCTATTCAAAATCTATCTCGAGTGTTGTTGGCTGTGGTCAGTGGGACAGTGCGAGTGGGAGTTGCGCATCAAGATGAGCAGAAGCCGAATGGCGAGAAGAGAAAAACTGAGAAAATGAGAAGAAACTAAGTATGAGATGGATGATACTGTTGATTTAAGAGATGAAATGATTATTTTATAAACATGCACAGTTGTTTATCTATACATATAGTTAATTTATTTATGATTCTTATCAAAGTTAGAAAGAATATATAACATCGTTGAAGGTCAACTGACCCACTAACCAGCCGGCACCATACTGGCAGTTAGTCAGTGGCGAGAAATACATGATGACCTTTGTGTGTGTTCTAATCAAAATGAAGTATATACGTGTAATTAAGTGACAATTGAAATTTGCAATGAAAAAAAGGTGGGAAACGTGTGCAGATTAGTGGAGAGAGTAAAGAGCTGAATCATTCGAGCTCTCACTCAATCGTCAGAGGTGCAATGAGACCGAGTCGATCAATTCAGACCCACAATGCGAAAACGTAAAAAAAAAGAGAAAAGAAAGAATTATAGCATGGAGAGTCTAGCAATTACATGATGACGTCCAGCTGTTGGTCATCTGAATTGACAAAACTCGAAAACAACGTCTTGAAATTGATTAGTTCGGGAGGAAACTAGGAAAATGGTGGAAATAGCTTGCAACTGTCCGCTTCTTAATGTTGAAAAGTAGCAAAACTGGCTTTGGCCTCGATGGACCGTTTGCGAAATAATCTCTCACTCTCTGACGTACTTATGTAAATAAAAGAAAATACCATATGATCGTGCAGTTAGAAAAAAAAGAAACAACTCAGTACAACAGAAAATGTGCACGAAAAGGTTAAGAGCTGAGAAAGCTTGCCGAAATCTTTCTGAACGGACGACAACATAATGAAATGGTTTGAAAATAACGAGTTACGAAGCAATGGGCGGAAAGTAAAAATGATAGTCGTTTCAGTTGTAGCTGGATGGGAAGAGATGGCTTGACGAATAGCACGAACGGCTTTTGCTTTATGCAGAACGGAAGAGGTCATCCAGAATTCCGGAAGCTCAATGAATTGCGCAAAGCTCAGTTTAGCGAATTTGATTATTCTCAGAATATGGATACTGTTGTTTTTTTCTCATAAATTCATATTTTTTTGGTTTAAGAATCGAAGAGGGTTAGGAAGCCAGCAAAAATGGGAGGTGGGATCTCGAAGAACTAAAATATGGGCGGCGCTAGACCTTGAACTATCCACGCGGGTGCCTGTCTGTACAACCATTTCACATCTCAGTCTAACATCCAGTCCTTCTTGGACGCTGTCGACGAAGTCGTCGTTGTCGTCGTTTTTCCCAACGATCCGAAGTCTCGTGTGTTCCTTCGAACATTTCGATCAAACGACATGCACATGAAATCAGCTAAAGTCTTTTTATCAGTCAGTTTATTGACCATACGAGAATTTCGGAGATGGTTTTGATGTGAAGTAACCCGTTGTGAGAGTATATCTGGGATTTGTCACAGGATTGCAATGGTAAACAACCGAACAACAAATGATTGGATGTAGTGATCAGATAACAATCAGACGTCTCTTTTTAAACAATTGAAAATGAAAGAAATGATAATAACAAACAAAGTGAATGATTTACTCTCACAGAAGATGACAGGAAACAGAACTTGACAAGGTTTGAGAGGTTGGGCAGAAGGAACACACACACACACACACACTCTTACACATACATAGAGGTTGCAGGACTTATTATATCAGAACATAATATTTCGGGTTCAAACATCGATAAATGGCGGGTTGTGGCTAACGATAACAAAATAAACAAAGCCATTAATTAGAAATAATTCGAAAGGAAAGACTCTTCAACAACATGGTTTAAGCCATGTTTGATGAAATATCAAAAATTGAAATTTGAGGCTTTTGCGGAAGGCCAACAAAAGGATTGGATGACCAAGAAATCGTAACGGTTTCAACAACAAAAAATTTTTGTACTTAAACATCGTAAAGGTGGAAAGTGTTGTTGTCCTTTTTGTAATCACAAAAACCCACCCGACACGTATTGCCCTTGTGATAGCCGGCAAAATGTAGAAGGAGAAATAGAGAGAGAGAGGGAGGGAGGGAGAGGGGAGAGGGTGAAGAGAGGTAGAGGGAGAGAGAAACATATCTGAATCATTGGACAAGCAAATATGCAAGTGTTAAATGCATAAGAAATCCAATTGTACAGATGGATGTTGGCTTTTAAAAAGGGATTTATTCGATTACAAAATTAAGAGTATTCGCCTCAAAGTTGGCTTTTCCTTTTCAGCATATTCGTTAGCACAGAATAGAAATGGAACAAGATGATCATCACACATGATGATGGTGATGAAAAAAGGAAGAAGAAAAGGATATATAGGCTATTGGAATGTAAATTTAAGCAAAACAAAACAGCAGTTAGCCATTAGCTGAGAAAATGAAGCAAATTAACGATACTAAAAACTAAAAAAATCGGATAATGTCCGGTAAACAGTGTTGTTTTAAACTGGAACAGCATAATTACAGCCTTATGTAAGCCTCTCGCAAACAACTTGAGCTGATAAATCTTATTACCATATAGTTTCGACGTTGTGTCCATACAAATCTTTGTCAGATTGAAATGAGAAGCATCATCATACGTCATTTATAGAAATTTTCATGGATAGAGAACGAGAATAGAAGGGATAGAGAACTGCCTCGTAAGACTGCATTTTGAAGAATTAAAGCAGACATTTGATAGGCACCACAACAACATATCGTCGTGATCATCATCAAGACGATTCTAAGCAATCCCAATGGTTATCATGACCAATAATTATCGCACAAGGACACTTTTTTTTTTGAGAAACAAAAAAAACAAATAATGCGAGATGGGTGTAAATATATATTCTATATTAAACGATTCCAAGACATTTCTCATTCAAAACATTATTTACAATGAGCTTTAGGAAGTTCACATTTAGCCCAACTATTCAAGCGCAAAGCAAATGCGCGAATTTTCCTCTACGCAATTATATACAAATCAATAAGAACTATAAAATAATTATGCAGGACGTTTGCATAAGCAAATGTTTGAAAATTCAATAATGATTTGCATACGAAGTTAGTTCGTATGCTAATTAGTTCAACGTGAGTGATTGCGTTGTACAAGCTCGAAACGACTTCATTTCATAACTAACAGACTAAGGACGAGCGGTTGCATTCAGCATTTTTCTTCATAGACAGACTTTCATCCGAAAATTGGATAAACGTAAATGAAGAGAGAGAGAATTGTGTTTGATAGCGGTTTAATCATTACTGCTGGAAAGCAATTACTGTCCCTTAATAGTATCCTAGCTATTATATTAATCGCAAGTATTCTCTAGGGGATCCCAAAAATTTGGTCAGGAACATGAAAATGGAAGAAATGTGAGCTGAGTTCGTTTGCCTTCCAATACACACACACACACATACATACACACATGCACATAGATAGAACCTAAGTTTAGTACTTTACAATTGGTAAAGTTGTTGGTCCATAAGCCTAAGCGCTAATTATACCATCTAGCCTAATGAATTCACTATGTAACTCGTTGATGACCAGCATATACAATGAGATAAATGAAAATGAAGTAGTCAATTAATAACAGCGAATACTTCAGAATCTGACATGAAATAGAATTTTCGCCTACCAGCTTCTGGTCGGCTTTTCCATTTTAATGAGATATTTGCATTGCCGATTCGAAGTAATTTCGTTTATGTGAAGCATAAGGTGAAGAGCTTCCGGTAAATCGCAAGTTGTCGTTAAAGTCCATTTGTGCAATTGTGGGTGATTTGCAGATATAATATCACGACAAATGACACCGAAGTTAATGAGCATTGTTCATACCAGAACTCGCTGACCAGAAGCTGGTAGGCGAAAATACTATTTCAACCGCGCTGGATGCATCTTTTGTGAATGATTCCAAAGATTGCTCGTGGAAGCTCTTGATGAAATTGCCATTGTTTTTGAGCAAATCATCTTCA